TACCCTTCACTGTGGGTGCCAGCTTTGGAAGGGACACATCTCAACAGAGCTAGGAGTCTATTCCCTTCACCACGTCCTCTAGAACAGCACATGGGTGACTGGCTTGTGAGAAGAGGTTCAAGAGGGACACCATTCCCTCCGTCCCTCACGTCTGTAATGGGCTGCCTGCTGCCAAGAAGGGGGGAGGAAATGGACAGTGGACTTGACTGCTAAGCCCCTGCTCTGAATTATTTTATTTCTTGGATTTTCTTCATGGGAGATAGCAACCTTAGGCTGAGTGTATCCTCTGCTTTAATGGCTCCTTAACTGAACTTTTATATATACACTCCTTCATGTATTTTTCTATTATTACCCATTTTGTTATTAAATACCTAGGAGAGTTGTCTTAAACAAGCATCACCATCCCCTCATTAGAAGCCTCACATTCATGAAGTCATAGGCTGGACTTGGCCTCCACTGTCTGTCCATCTGCTTCAGTGACTGTCAGATAAAAGACCAGTGAACCCTTGTCCTATGATTAAACAGCCATGGGATAAAACCCAACACTTTAGTCACTGACACCCATGAAAGTGTAATGGAGCAGAAGAACTCCTGTTGCTGACACCATAGCCTTGGGATCGCCATATACCAGGGCACTGCTCACATGTGGATGGCACTGCTGTATGAAAAACTACTGTGCTGCAATTCACATGAAACCACAGCACACAGAATTCTATACAGGCTTTGATGGCGGTAAAGAATCTCTCCATTCCTGGTCTGTACTTACTCCAACGCACTTCTTTTGGTCAACCACGCTAGTGTACAAGAGTCTTCCCTGTTATGCAGCAACAGCCTCATGCACCTGATACTCACTCTTTCTTTGTTGTCCTTGGAGACAACATGGGTGCATTAGCCTATATTGTCTAGCTGTGTGCAGGTGCATGTTCACACAATGACCTGGGTGCCTTCTGCCATATTGTGATATTGAGGAGCTATGTCCTCCATAAGTAACCAAGATGGTAGAGCTGTTGGGACAATTGTGGGTCCTTTGAGAGTTGGAGCCTTACTAGAGAAACTATGTAACTGGGGGTGGGTTTGAGTTTTTATATCTTATTTGCTGTTTACTCTCTGCTTCCTGCCTGCCTCTGAACTCCCTGCCACTTCCTGCCATGTCTCCCTGCCATAATGGATTCTTATTCCTCTGAAACCATAAGTACAAGACCATTCTTTGTTGAGTTTCTAAGTTATGGTATTTTTGCCTTGGCAATAGAAGAGTAACTAAGATTCTGCGTCTCTCAGAGCACATCCGGGTCTTTAAGCAGTGCATGCATGCAGGTGAACACGCCACTGGTGCAAATTCAGAAGGCCCAAGAGTACAGGGACATGGACCCCTTGATGCTCACTTTCTGTGAAAACAACAGAAATGCTACTGAACATCACTGGGGCCACTCCATCCTATGCTTTTTCTTAGACACTGTCCCCTCTACCCCAGGACTTTGAGGATCTCCCAGTTTCACTATGTTCACAGCTGAAGTCACTCTAGGTCCTGGAACCCAAGGTGACTCTTCCCCTCAGGACCATGCTGTTTCCAAGCCCAAGGTGCTGGATTTTAAGATCTATGATGGGAACTCAGGTTCATGGCCTCTCCTGGACAGATGCTCTGGTGTTTTGTAACAGGGCTTTCACATAGGGAGAAGCATGGCAGGGTACCAAAGGGACAATGTCCAGGTTTTTGTTGCCTGAAGCTGGATTGCTGTGACCCATGGCCCTTTTCCAAACTAAGCCACCCATCCTAGAATTCCTGTAAGCCACCATTCATTTTTCAGTGGATGGGCCAATTTCCAGAAAGTCTTCTTAGGGAGTTCTGAGGTAGAGCAGGATTAGGCAGAATGCTGGCTGAGGGCTGCTATGTTCTGGGTGCTGGTCCTTGAATGACTCCTACAGACTCTTAGGCTCTCTGTAGACTCTCTACAGGTTCTTTCAGAGAAATGGATTTGGACATAGATGGTTTCTTCTTCCTGTGTAACAGCATCCTTCCCAGGAGGGGTCCTGCTCATGATGGAAGGAATGGGGTGACTGTGACTCTCTGACACATGGATCCCATTCCTTAGCGTGAAACTCGAACCCTCTGTCCTGTATTTAAGGTTTTCCAAGTTCAGAATTAGTCTGCAGTTCCTACTGTGTGTGCTTTCGTTTTGTTTATATTGCATTGTTTCA